GAAAGACAGCGTCTGAATGAACAGGTCTGTCGGAAAGACAGCGTCTGAATTAACAGGTCTGTCGGAAAGACAGCGTCTGAATGAACAGGTCTGTCGGAAAGACAGCGTCTGAATGAACAGGTCTGTCGGAAAGACAGCGTCTGAATGAACAGGTCTGTCGGAAAGACAGCGTCTGAATGAACAGGTCTGTCGGAAAGACAGCGTCTGAATGAACAGGTCTGTCGGAAAGACAGCGTCTGAATGAACAGGTCTGTCGGAAAGACAGCGTCTGAATGAACAGGTCTGTCGGAAAGACAGCGTCTGAATGAACAGGTCTGTCGGAAAGACAGCGTCTGAATGAACAGGTCTGTCGGAAAGACAGCGTCTGAATGAACAGGTCTGTCGGAAAGACAGCGTCTGAACGAACAGGTCTGTCGGAAAGACAGCGTCTGAATGAACAGGTCTGTCGGAAAGACAGCGTCTGAATGAACAGGTCTGTCGGAAAGACAGCGTCTGAATGAACAGGTCCTGTCAGAAAGACAGCGTCTGAATGAACAGGTCTGTCGGAAAGACAGCGTCTGAATGATGAACAGGTCTGTCGGAAAGACAGCGTCTGAATGATGAACAGGTCTGTCGGAAAGACAGCGTCTGAATGAACAGGTCTGTCGGAAAGACAGCGTCTGAATGAACAGGTCTGTCGGAAAGACAGCGTCTGAATGAACAGGTCTGTCGGAAAGACAGCGTCTGAATGAACAGGTCTGTCGGAAAGACAGCGTCTGAATGAACAGGTCTGTCGGAAAGACAGCATCTGAATGAACAGTGAACAGGTCTGTCGGAAAGACAGCGTCTGAATGAACAGGTCTGTCGGAAAGACAGCGTCTGAATGAACAGGTCTGTCGGAAAGACAGCGTCTGAATGAACAGGTCTGTCAGAAAGACAGCGTCTGAATGAACAGGTGTGTCAGAAAAACAGCGTCTGAATGAACAGGTCTGTCGGAAAGAGAGCGTCTGAATGAACAGGTCTGTCGGAAAGACAGCGTCTGAATGAACAGGTCCGTCGGAAAGACAGTGTCTGAATGAACAGGCCTGTCGGAAAGACAGCATCTGAATGAACAGGTCTGTCGGAAAGACAGCGTCTGAATGAACAGGTCTGTCGGAAAGACAGCGTCTGAATGAACAGGTCGGAAAGACAGCGTCTGAATGAACAGGTCTGTCGGAAAGACAGCATCTGAATGAACAGGTCTGTCGGAAAGACAGCGTCTGAATGAATAGGTCTGTCGGAAAGGCAGCGTCTGAATGAACAGGTCTATCGGAAAGACAGCATCTGAATGAACAGGTCTGTCGGAAAGACAGCGTCTGAACGAACAGGTCTGTCGGAAAGACAGCGTCTGAATGAACAGGTCTGTCGGAAAGACAGCGTCTGAATGAACAGGTCTGTTGGAAAGACAGCGTCTGAATGAACAGGTCTGTCGGAAAGACAGCATCTGAATGCACAGGTCTGTCGGAAAGACAGCGTCTGAATGAACAGGTCTGTCGGAAAGACAGCGTTTGAATGAACAGGTCTGTCGGAAAGACAGCGTTTGAACGAACAGGTCTGTCGGAAAGACAGCGTCTGAATGAACAGGTCTGTCGGAAAGACAGCATCTGAATGCACAGGTCTGTCGGAAAGACAGCGTCTGAATAAACAGGTCTGTCGGAAAGACAGCGTCTGAATGAACAGGTCTGTCGGAAAGACAGCGTCTGAACGAACAGGTCTGTCGGAAAGACAGCGTTTGAACGAACAGGTCTGTCGGAAAGACAGCGTCTGAATGAACAGGTCTGTCGGAAAGACAGCGTCTGAATGAACAGGTCTGTCGGAAAGACAGCGTCTGAATGAACAGGTCTGTCGGAAAGACAGCGTCTGAATGAACAGGTCTGTCGGAAAGACAGCGTCTGAATGAACAGGTCTGTCGGAAAGACAGTGTCTGAATGAACAGGTCTGTCGGAAAACAGCGTCTGAATGATGAACAGGCCTGTCGGAAAGACAGCGTCTGAATGAACAGGTCTGTCGGAAAGACAGCGTCTGAATAAAGAGGTATGTCGGAAAGACAGCGTCTGAACGAACAGGTCTGTCGGAAAGACAGCGTCTGAATGAACAGGTCTGTCGGAAAGACAGCGTCTGAACGAACAGGTCTGTTGGAAAGACAGCGTCTGAATGAACAGGTCTGTCGGAAAGACAGCGTCTGAATGAACAGGTCTGTCGGAAAAACAGCGTCTGAATGAACGGGTCTGTCGGAAAGACAGCGTCTGAATGAACAGGTCGGTCAGAAAGACAGCGTCTGAATGAACAGGTCTGTCGGAAAGACAGCGTCTGAATGAACAGGTCTGTCGGAAAGACAGCGTCTGAACGGACAGGCCTGTCGGAAAGACAGCGTCTGAATGAACAGGTCGGTCAGAAAGACAGCGTCTGAATGAACAGGTCTGTCGGAAAGACATTCGGAAAGACAGACCTGTTCATTTAGACGCTGTCTTTCCGACAGACCTGTTCTTCACCTGAGGACGGCTGCTTGCGTTGTGGCCGAAACGTCGTGAGCATTGTATTGTATCATGTTTTATTTTTATCATTTCATTATTTCCCTTCTACGCGACTTTACCGAAAGAACCAAGAAGATGAGTCCGTGTTACTCGCGTCTGCAGCTGTGCGTGCGAGCGGCGCGTTGGCTCACGTCACCTGCGCCAGGTTTGTTGCGACGGACATGGGCGAGCCTGGGTACGAGAAGCCCGGGGAGTCTGGCGGGAAGCCATCGACGGCGTCCTCTCGCGAGGTTTCCTCATCGTCAGATGATGTCGGGGGCGAGCAGTTCTCCTCTTCCGGATATTCGCTCCTGCCAAAGAAATACGCGCAAATTAATTGCTGTGCCGTACACGACGTTGAGTGACAGCGTGACGTATCCGCCCGTTATCTGCGTGGTGTTGGTGGCTGCGCGCACGCCTGCAATGCAGCACTGGAGGTAGCAAGGGTCGGTGGAAGAGGTCGCAACCGGGTACCCGATACCCGTACCCTACCCGATACCCGTACCCTACCCGATACCCGTACCCTACCCGATACCCGTACCCTACCCGATACCCGTACCCTACCCAATACCCGTACCCTACCCGATACCCGGCTACCCGTGCCCGATACCCGTACCCTACCCGATACCCGTACCCTACCCGATACCCGTACCCTACCCGATACCCGTACCCTACTCGATACCCGTACCCTACCCGATACCCATACCCTACCCGATACCCGGCTACCCGTGCCCGATACCCGTACCCTACCCGATACCCGTACCCTACCCGATACCCGTACACTACCCGATACCCGTACCCTACCCGATACCCGTACCCTACCCGATACCCGTACCCTACCCGATACCCGTATACTACCCGATACCCGTACCCTACCCGATACCCGTACACTACCCGATACCCGTACCCTACCCGATACCCGTACACTACCCGATACCCGTACCCTACCCGATACCCGGCTACCCGTACCCGGCCGAGTACGGGTAGGCCGTGAGTCACTGGTGAGTCACCGTTTGTCACTCATTTCCCAACGTCTTGTCTCTTCTCACAATTCAAGTTCCTAGAATCAACCCACCCGCGCCTGCAACATGGCTTCATCCCAGAGGTCGCAATCGGGTACCCGATACCCGTACCCTACCCGTACCCGGCCGGGTACGGGTAGGGTACGGGTACGGCCGGGTACGGGTAGGGTACGGGTACGGGTAGGGGTGACCAGCCCCTCCCCACCCAGCCCCACCCTCCCCAGCCAGCCCCACCCCTCCCACCCCCCACCCAGCCCCTCACTACCCTCCCCTCCCCACCCTCCCCTCCCAGCCCCTCCCCACCCAGCCCCTCCCCACCCTCCCCACCCAGCCCCTCCCCACCCTCCCCACCCAGCCCCTCCACACCCTCCCCACCCAGCCCCTCCCCACCCAGCCCCTCCCCACCCTCCCCTCCCAGCCCCTCCCCACCCTCCCCACCCAGCCCCACTCCTCCTACCCCCCACCCAGACCCACCCTCTCCACCCAGCCCCCCCCCTCCCATTTTTGGATGCACGGCGGACGGACGGACGGACACAACAATCCCCTGTGGGCTGCTGTAACCAGGAGGTTCCTACCAGTATTATAGGAAAGCAAAGACCCTCGCCCTCCACAAGCTAAGGCCAGACGAACCCTCCGTGCCGTTCAGTGGCCAACCCAACCCCCCGCTACTCCCACCGGCACTCTCCGTTGGTCACGGCAAAGTGCGGTGCACGGCCGTCAGTCCCCACCACCCCCCCGGGTTCCTCTCAACTCCCTCGGCCGCTCGTGCGCAAGTCGCTTCCACGTGCTCTTAGTTCTTTCGGTAAAAAAAAAAATGAAATTAAATTAATTTAAAAAAATCATTTTTTTACCTACGCGGTGACTTTACCGAAAGAACTAAGAGTATGAATCCTTGCAGTCGCGAAAGCTTCAAGTCGCTTCCACGTGCTCTTAGTTCTTTCGGTAAAGTCACGTAGGTAAAAAATTAAATTAAAATTAATTAAAAAAAATCACGACGTTTCGGAGGCGGAAGCTTGCGTTGCCTCCGAAACGTCGTGATTTTTTTATTAATTTCAATTTCATTTTTTTACCTACGCGGTGACTTTACCGAAAGAACTTAGAGTATGAATCCTTGCAGTCGCGAAAGCTTCTAGTCGGTTCCACGTGCTCACCGCTGAGGGCCGAGCGAGCTTGAACGTGTTGCCGTGTGGAATGAGAAAAGTTCGCGAGGCACCGGTCTGTCTCGAACTACGCCATGGCACCTATTCGACACCCACGCGCAACATTTCTGCGTCCATCCAGCAACCCGCGTTGCCATCACGGTGATGGATTACAGGCCACGCGCCTATCCACCACCACCACCACCCGGTTATCAATATCACATCGCGAGCTGTTGATTGTTGGGAAATGGGTTACCTTGGGGACATCATGTCATCGTCATGTGCTGCCATGTACTCTTCTTGTGCTTCTACGTCATCTTCTTGTGCTGCGCCATCTCCTGCTGTTATGTCATCTCCTTCTGTTATGTCATCTTCTTGTGCTGCATCATCTCCTTCTGCTGCACAATCTTCTTGTGCTACACCATCTCCTGCTACATCATCTCCTTCTGTTATGTCATCTTCTTCTGCTGCACAATCTTCTTGTGCTGCACAATCTTCTTGTGCTACACCATCTCCTGCTACATCATCTCCTGCTGTTATGTCATCTCCTTCTGTTATGTAATCTTCTTCTGCTGCACAATCTTCTTGTGCTACACCATCTCCTGCTACACCATCTCCTGCTACACCATCTCCTGCTACATCATCTCCTCCTGCTACATCATCTCCTTCTGTTATGTCATCTTCTTGTGCTACACCATCTCCTGCTACACCATCTCCTGCTACATCATCTTCTTGTGCTGCGCCATCTCCTGCTGTTATGTCATCTCCTTCTGTTATGTCATCTTCTTCTGCTGCACAATCTTCTTGTGCTACACCATCTCCTGCTACATCATCTCCTTGTGCTACATCATCTCCTTGTGCTACACCATCTGCTTGTGCTACATCATCTTCTTGTACTACACCATCTGCTTGTGCTACATCATCTTCTTGTACTACTAAATCTGCTTGTGCTGCTACACCATCTGCTTGTGCTGCTGTGTGGTATTCCTGTGCTACATCATCTCCTTCTGCTATGTCATCTTCTTGTGCTACACCATCTCCTGCTACATCATCATCTTCTGTTATGTCATCATCTTCTGTTATGTCATCATTTTCTGTTATGTAATCATCTTCTGTTATATAATCATCTTCTGTTATGTCATCATCTTCTGTTATATCATCGCCTTCTGTTATATCATCTCCTCCTGCTACAGCATCTCCTTCTGTTACGCCATCTGCTTGTGCTGCTGTGCCATCTGCTTGTGCTGCTGTGTGGTATTCCTGTGCTAATGTGCCATCTCCTCGTGGCGCAGATGTGGAAGGCGTGGCTTGGGAAGAAGATATTTTTCCTCTGGTGGAAGCAGATGACTTGGGACATCCAATTGATTCCTGAATATATAAACAAATAGACACATCGCGATAAACAACACAAGCAAACACCGTGACACACACACACACACGTGCCGTCTACCGTTAAACGCGTCAGATGTGCCCATCGGTGATCGCTCGTAATCTTGTCTCGGCGTGTTACGGTCAAATTTCGATTTAAAGCTTCTTTCGTGACTGCAGCAGGGATTCATCTTCTTGGTTCTTTCGGTAAAGTCGTCACGTAGAAGGGAAGTAATAAAATAATAAAAATAAAACATAATAAAATAATTCTCACGACGTTTCGGCTACAACGCAAGCAGCCGTCTTCAGGTGAAGAATGAGACACTGCCAAGCTTGGAGCTTATATATAAGCTGGGTTGGAGGTGGAAGAAGAGCGCCTTAACAAAAAAAGAATGTGCATATCAAGCTCATATATAAGCTCCAAGCTTGGCAGTGTTTCATTCTTCACCTGAAGACGGCTGCTTGCGTTGTGGCCGAAACGTCGTGAGAATTATTTTATTATGTTTTATTTTTATTATTTTATTACTTCCCTTCTACGTGGTGACTTTATCGAAAGAACCAAGAAGATGTTACGGTCGTTAAACGTTTCGCCTCGCTCGATTTCGAACTCAAGATTTCTCCGCCGTTAATTCTTCGCAACCAAAGGACCCCCTCTCCAAAAACCCCGCGGGCAAATCGGCTCGTAGCGACGCTCCCAAGAATGTAACGACGAGGGAGGATTTGAGTGCGTAGGGCCCCCTTGCTACACCGACTCCTGAGTAGCTTCAAGCGCCACTCATTGCATCTCGTCACTGCCGTCGGCAGTCTGGCCAAGGGGGCACCCCCACTGGCAGCTGTCCCTGTGTGGCACGAGGTGTACCACAGCAGCGGCGAGCGAGCGGGAGGTCATTTGACAGTCTTCCATTTCATTCGAGGCTATTTTGAAATGAGGACCGACGGGGGTGGGCCAGTCTGCGGCCCGCAATCGAAAGGTCACGAGTTCAACCGCTGATTGGATTGCCGACTAAGCCCATCATCATCATCATCCCTCTCTCTGCGCTGTAATGAGTTAATGAGGACGTCACCCTGCTGCTGCTGCTGCTGCTCTATATAAGAACGGGAGACACAGCAGAGACCCTCAACATTCTGGCGAATTGTGCGATGATGATGCTGGATGCAATTACCAGCGAAACGTCACAGCGCTACTCAAATAGTAAATTGTTGTGGTTTCACGCTTCAACACACACCGGTGTGGGGGCTAAAGCAGTGAACTAATTTGTCTTTTGTCAACGTGACACTTTTTTACTGATTGGCCGTGTCGGGTGGTGGAGGGTTACGACACATTTATAAATAACGCGGCGATCTAAACCCAAACACGTTGATTGTGAATAAAATAATAACGATAACCACCAGACAGACAGGGAAGCCAATAAGTGGTTGGTCCTATGGAGGGACTCACCCTCACCATAGGATCACGTGGGATTTCCAGCATTGGCGTCGGTACGGGATTGGTGTCTGGCTGTAGAACTTTGGGGTACCTGATAATTGGTTTTTTACCCTTCTACCTGGCAACAAAACTGACACCTTTTTACAAGGATAATGTGCACATTATCAGAGTTATGTCTTTTGTTTGTATTATGACTGCAGGTATTGTGGTCTATGCAAGCATGACTCCTTGTAAAAAAAGGTGTCAGTTTTGTTGCCAGATAGAAGGGTAAAAAAACAATTATCATATTTTTACTGGCAAATGAGGTTGCCATAGTGTAGATGCTTGCCCCGAGCTCTCATACTCTGATGGTGCGTTGTCTTTGAGTTGTGCGCCTTTTGGCGTCATCTGGTCCAACCCATGTGAGACTAGGTTCTAAGGAAAGCTGTCTCGGGTGTGGACCAATCAGCTTCAAGGACCATGTGAGACTAGGCTCTAAGGAAAGCTGTCTCGGGTGTGGACCAATCAGCTTCAAGGACCATGTGAGACTAGGCTCTAAGGAAAGCTGTCTCTGGTGTGGACCAATCAACTTCAAGGACCATGTGAGACTAGGCTCTAAGGAAAGCTGTCTCTGGTGTGGACCAATCAACTTCAAGGACAGTGCATACATTATCAGAGTTATGTTCTTTTGTTTGCATTACGACTGCAGGTATTGCGGTCTATGCAAACATGACTCCTTGTAAAAAAAAGGTGTCAGTTTTGTTGCCAGATAGAAGGGTAAAAAAAACAATTATCATATTTTTACTGGCAAATGAGGTTCCCATAGTGTAGATGTTTGCCCCGAGCTCTCATACTCTGATGGTGCATTGTCTTTGAGTTGTGCGCCTTTTGGCGTCATCTGGTCCAACCCATGTGAGACTAGGTTCTAAGGAAAGCTGTCTCGGGTGTGGACCAATCAGCTTCAAGGACCATGTGAGACTAGGCTCTAAGGAAAGCTGTCTCGGGTGTGGACCAATCAACTTCAAGGACCATGTGAGACTAGGCTCTAAGGAAAGCTGTCTCGGGTGTGGACCAATCAACTTCAAGGACAGTGCATACATTATCAGAGTTATGTTCTTTTGTTTGCATTACGACTGCAGGTATTGCGGTCTATGCAAACATGACTCCTTGTAAAAAAAAGGTGTCAGTTTTGTTGCCAGATAGAAGGGTAAAAAAAACAATTATCATATTTTTACTGGCAAATGAGGTTCCCATAGTTTGCGGTACCTGATTCATCCACAGGGGGTTGGCGGTGCCGGTCTCGGGCTCCATGTGGCCTGTGTCCATTGCTTCGTCTTCATCTTCTACTTCTTCTTCTTAAAGACACAAAAGTTACGAGCACAAGTCAGATCTGAAACACGGCAGAACTGATTCTTCGGCCGTTACCGATCATTGCTACAACTCGGTGGGCTCTCATGAAATTGTCTTTTCCGAGACCAAGGTTCTCTGCAAACCTCCTGGCTACCATCAAAGGTTTGTACACGAAGCCATACAAATATACAAACACAGACATAATTTCAACCGTGATGACGGTTACAAACTGAGTAATCATTGGAAAGATGTTATTGACCATGCAAAAAAGATTTAACTACACTTATTTGGACCATCTTATTTGACAGACAACTATTACAGGTTATTGATAGACAGCCAGGCTTGTTTTACCAGGTTTAGTTGTTTCTTTTTTCACACTATTGTTACGTAGGCCAGGCTTAGTCACAAACCGTACCTCTCCATAACAAAGGCTCAGCCTCTTAAGCCTCACCTTACCGTATTAATAAAAAGTATGCCGTACTTGGCCCTTACCCCCCCTCTCCAACCATTATATAATCGGAGTGGTAGCTCCTGAAATCTCTCATTTACTTGATACGGCTGTCGTGGCTGTGACGGTTCCACCTGAAGACGGAAGCTTGTGTTGCCTCCGAAACGTCGTGATTTTTATTTTACTCTTATTAATTTTAATGTTTTACCTACACGGTGACTTTACCGAAACAACCTAAGAATAAAAGCTACTTTGTTTAACCCGTAGGCTTTCGCGACCATGTCTGTCGCTTACCCTATTAGTAATCCAACCGGTAACGGATATCCATTCTGATGTAGATGCACGTGTAGTGGTGGTAACTACTCGCTGTTCGCAAACTGTGACAGCAGATCGTAAACAAGGTTGTCCCGCTCAATCAAACGGTCCGGGTCAGATGGGGTGAGGTAGGATCCAAACGCCAGATTGGGAAGGACCAATCAGAGGGTCCCACAAGGTGGCCGGGGATTGGACAACGCGGCCACGAACAGGTATACAAGCCGGAGCGCTGAGAGCTCTGGAGGAGTTCTGCTACACGAAGACCCAAGTCGGCCGAAGACGTCTAGGACCCTGGACCAAGCCGTCCAGCCCTCGTCAGGGCTCGGGCTCAGAGTCACCAGCGGTCGGGGAGAGATCCCCTAGGTCAGGGGTCGGGAACCTTGTTGACTGGGAGAGCCATAAAAGCCAAATATTTCTAAATATTTTTCATTGAGAGCCATATAGTATTTTTTAACGTATAATAAATTAAATACGTCTTACTTTCAATGTGACTTCTGGTCACGGGACCCGTGACCCGATAAATTTTATCTTCAAAACTAATTTCTATTTACTTTAAAATGACACACTATTATTAAGCAAATATCACAAGTATTTTAAAATCAGTTCCAAACTGATTTTTTTTTTTTTTTTTTTTTTTTCAACTCAAAATTGTCTGGGAGCCATATGCCGTCACCGGAAGAGCCATGTGTGTGGCTCGCGGGCCATAGGTTCCCGACCGCTGCCCTAGGTCCAGCCAGAGGACGCTGGGAGAGCAGGGAGATTAGACAGCCTGCATGGTCCGGAGACTTGTACCTTCTGAGGGTAACGGGTGAGGGGACCGTATACCCCCTTAGTGTGATAGGGGCTGTGCGTTAATATAATAAACAGCGTGTGCCATAAAGAAGTCCAGAAGTCCGTCCTTACAACACTACACACGCATTAACCCTCCCACACCTCTGGTCTTCGCACCGGATTGGCCCACACAAGTGACGACGTCACACTGATCCCCTCTATTTGAGACCGAAACACGAGGAGGATTTCTCCACGACTCTGCGGCTGTCGCCTGATGATGCCGGGTGTTGTGATTACCGGCGAAACGTCACAGCTACTCGAATCGTAAATGTTGTGAGCTGACTGTCCAACACACCAGTGCGCTGAACTAGTAACGAATTGGGGCGCTTTCACTACGTGGCAAACCTTCCCACTCGGCTGTATTGGGCGGGTTATGGTTAGGGTTACCGGCGAAACGTCACAGCTACTCGAATCGTAAATGTTGTGAGCTGACTCTCCGACACACCAGTGCGCTGAACTAGTAACGAGTTGACGCGCTTTCACTACGTGGCAAACCTTCCCACTCGGCTGTATTTGGCGGGTTATGGTTAGGGTTACCGGCGAAACGTCACAGCTACTGGAATTGTAAATGTTGTGAGCTGACTCTCCGACACACCATTGCGCTGAACTAGTAACGAGTTGGAGCGCTTTCACTACGTGGCAAACCTTCCCACTCAGCTGTATGGGGGGGTTAGGGTTACCAGCGAAACGTCACAGCTACTCGAATTGTAAATGTTGTGAGCTGACTCTCCAACACACCAGTGCGCTGAACTAGTAACGAGTTGGAGCGCTTTCACTACGTGGCAAACCTTCCCACTCGGCTGTATTGGGCGGGTTATGGTTACCGGCGAAACGTCACAGCTACTCGAATTGTAAATGTTGTGAGCTCACTGTCCAACACACCAGTGCGCTGAACTAGTAACGAGTTGGCGCGCTTTCTTTACGTGGCAAACCTTCCCACTCGGCTGTATTGGGCGGTGGCGCGTTTAACGACGCGCGCATATTTACGCGATCAAACACGAAAATCACGGAACAGCTTCGGTCGTTCGGCACGTGAACAGCTGTCGCCACCAATGACAATCGGCATAAAGATACGGGGCAAAGTTTAATCGAGTATATAATTACAATAACACCGCCTCACATCGTTGCACCTGATGAGTTAATGAGTCAATGATGACGTCACTATATAAGCAGCAGGGTGACGTCATCGCTAGTTAGTGATGACGTCACCCTGCTGCTGCTGCTCTATACAAGCAGCAGGGTGACGTCATCACTAGTTAATGATGACGTCACCCTGCTGCTCTATATAAGCAGCAGGATGACGTCATCGCTAGTGAATGATGACGTCACCCTGCTGCTCTATATAAGCAGCAGGTGACGTCATCACTAGTTAACGATGACGTCACCCTGCTGCTGCTGCTCTATACAAGCAGCAGGGTGACGTCATCACTAGTTAGTGATGACGTCACCCTGCTGCAGCTGCTCTATATAAGCAGCAGGATGACGTCATCATCAGTTAACGATGACGTCACCCTGCTGCTGCTGCTCTATATAAGCAGCAGGGTGACGTCATCACTAGTCAATGATGACGTCACCCTGCTGCTGCTGCTGCTCTATGCAAGCAGCAGGGTGACGTCATCACTAGTTAGTGATGACGTCACCCTGCTGCTGCTCTATGTAAGCAGCAGGGTGACGTCATCACTAGTTAGTGATGACGTCACCCTGCTGCTGCAGCTGCTCTATGCAAGCAGCAGGGTGACGTCATCACTAGTTAACGATGACGTCACCCTGCTGCAGCTGCTGCTGCTGCTCTATATAAGCAGCAGGGTGACGTCATCACTAGTTAGTGATGACGTCAGCCTGCTGCTGCTGCTCTATACAAGCAGCAGGGTGACGTCATCACTAGTTAATGATGACGTCACCCTGCTGCTGCAGCTCTATATAAGCAGCAGGATGACGTCATCACTAGTTAGTGATGACGTCACCCTGCTGCTGCTGCTACTCTATATAAGCAGCAGGGTGACGTCATCACTAGTTAGTGATGACGTCACCCTGCTGCTGCTGCTGCTCTATATAAGAACGGGAGACACAGCAGAGCCCCTCAAGATTCTGGCGAATTGTGCGATGATGCTGCTGGATGCAATTACCAGCGAAACGTCACAGCGCTACTCAAATAGTAAACGTTGTGGTTTCACGCTTCAACACACACCGGTGTGGGGGCTAAAGCAGCGAACTAATTTGTCTTTTGTCAACGTGACACTTTTTTACCGATTGGCCGTGTCGGGTGGTGGAGGGTTACGACACATTTATAAATAACGCGGCGATCTAACACCCAAACATGTTGATTGTGAACACGGGGAAAAGGTCACGAGGGAAATAAAAACTATCTGCAAGTAAGAAAAACTACACACAAATAAACGTTCGCACATTTCAGCGGGTTACGGGACGTCCCGTATGACGACGGGGTTTCGCGTGGCCAGGTCTAGCCCGCCACGAGTAGCCACGAGTGTGATCGCACAGCGCCCACAGACCCCTTGCGTACGTACCCATGTCGCGTGCTTCTTGGGCCGTCTTTGTAGGCGCCCCTCGTCTGTTGTGACGCCTGTGAAGACAGCGCAGCCTCGTCACCGCCAATCGAGCTCAGGTCGACAGGAAGCGACGTTTGCCTTGCGGTCAAAACGTCGTCGTTTTTTTAAAACCCTTTATATTAAGTTCGCTTGCTTGCTTTGCTAACGACCGTGCAAATCCTTCGGTCGTTTTTTAACCCACTTCCCGTGATCCAATCGAGCTGACATTTTGCTACACAGACTCGTTGTGCGTGACAATTAATGTTCGTGAATTTTTTTCTCCAAAATTTTACACTGTTTAGGGAAAACAAATTAAATATTTAATTACCAATTGCTTAATGGTGGCATGCAATCATCTGACCCATAGGTGGCAGCCATCTCAAGCCAGAGGACGAGAGGACTCTAGCCGCCACGCATATAAAGGATTTATAGTGAAAAACTTTGTTTTTACGGGTTACACTTATTGTTATTTTCTAACTGAACACATTCATAAATTATGTTGATGCGTTGCGATCGAAACGTCGTGGGTTTTTTGCTTTAATCATTTTCAATTGATTATTATTATTATTTTTCTTATTTTTATTTATTTTTATTATTTTTTATTTAAATTGTATTTTCTATCTACCCGACTTCACCGAAAGACCCAAAGAATATGGATTCCTGAAGTCACGAAAGCTTTAAGTCAAGATCCAGTTCTGACCGTTCTCAAGTATTTCCGCCGTTTCGAACTTACTTGGTGTCACCCCTGGGACACCCTTGCGAATGGAACGCTTGCAGCTCATGCGATTTTCCACGTGATATGATAACAACGGTGTGTACAGACAGTCCCCTACTTACGACTCTCACTACAACAACATGCACAGACAGTCCCCGACTTACGACTCTCACTACAACAACACGCACAGACAGTCCCCGACTTACGACTCTCACTACAACAACATGTACAGGCAGTCCCCGACTTACGACTCTCACTACAACAACACGCACAGACAGTACCCGACTTACGACTCTCACTATAACAACATGCACAGACAGTCCCCTACTTACGACTCTCACTATAACAACATGCACAGACAGTCCCCGACTTACGACTCTCACTATAACAACATGTACAGACAGTCCCCGACTTACGACTCTCACTATAACAACATGCACAGACAGTCCCCGACTTACGACTCTCACTATAACAACATGCACAGACAGTCCCCTACTTACGACTCTCACTATAACAACATGCACAGACAGTCCCCGACTTACGACTCTCACTATAACAACATGCACAGACAGTCCCCGACTTACGACTCTCACTATAACAACATGTACAGACAGTCCCCGACTTACGACTCTCACTATAACAACATGCACAGACAGTCCCCTACTTACGACTCTCACTATAACAACATGCACAGACAGTCCCCGACTTACGACTCTCACTATAACAACATGCACAGGCAGTCCCCTACTTACGACTCTCACTATAACAACATGCACAGACAGTCCCCGACTTACGACTCTCACTACAACAACATGTACAGACAGTCCCCGACTTACGACTCTCACTATAACAACACGCACAGACAGTCCCCTACTTACGACGCCCACTATAACAACACGCACAGACAGTCCCCGACTTACGACTCTCACTACAACACGCACAGACAGTCCCCGACTTACGACTCTCACTATAACAACACGCACAGACAGTCCCCGACTTACGACTCTCACTATAACAACATGCACAGACAGTCCCCGACTTACGACTCTCACTATAACAACATGCACAGGCAGTCCCCTACTTACGACTCTCACTATAACAACATGTACAGGCAGTCCCCGACTTACGACTCTCACTACAACAACACGCACAGACAGTCCCCGACTTACGACTCTCACTATAACAACATGTACAGACAGTCCCCGACTTACGACTCTCACTATAACAACATGTACAGGCAGTCCCCGACTTACGACTCTCACTACAACAACACGCACATACAGTCCCCGACTTACGACTCTCACTATAACAACATGCACAGACAGTCCCCGACTTACGACTCTCACTATAACAACATGTACAGACAGTCCCCTACTTACGACTCTCACTATAACAACACGCACAGACAGTCCCCGACTTACGACTCTCACTATAACAACATGCACAGACAGTCCCCGACTTACGACTCTCACTCTAACAACATGCACAGACAGTCCCCGACTTACGACTCTCACTATAACAACATGCACAGACAGTCCCCGACTTACGACTCTCACTATAACAACATGCACAGACAGTCCCCTACTTACGACTCTCACTATAACAACACGCACAGACAGTCCCCGACTTACGACTCTCACTATAACAACACGCACAGACAGTCCCCGACTTACGACTCTCACTATAACAACATGCACAGACAGTCCCCGACTTACGACTCTCACTATAACAACACGCACAGACAGTCCCCTACTTACGACTCTCACTATAACAACATGCACAGACAGTCCTCTACTTACGACTCTCACTACAACAACACGCACAGACAGTCCCCGACTTACGACTCTCACTATAACAACATGCACAGACAGTCCCCTACTTACGACTCTCACTATAACAACATGCACAGACAGTCCCCGACTTACGACTCTCACTATAACAACATGCACAGACAGTCCCCTACTTACGACTCTCACTATAACAACATGCACAGACAGTCCCCGACTTACGACTCTCACTATAACAACATGCACAGACAGTCCCCGACTTACGACTCTCACTATAACAACACGCACAGACAGTCCCCGACTTACGACTCTCACTATAACAACATGCACAGACAGTCCCCTACTTACGACTCTCACTATAACAACATGCACAGACAGTCCCCGACTTACGACTCTCACTATAACAACATGCACAGACAGTCCCCGACTTACGACTCTCACTATAACAACATGCACAGACAGTCCCCGACTTACGACTCTCACTATAACAACATGCACAGACAGTCCCCGACTTACGACTCTCACTACAACAACATGCACAGACAGTCCCCGACTTACGACTCTCACTACAACAACATGTACAGGCAGTCCCCGACTTACGACTCTCACTATAACAACATGCACAGACAGTCCCCGACTTACGACTCTCACTATAACAACATGCACAGACAGTCCCCGACTTACGACTCTCACTATAACAACATGCACAGACAGTCCCCGACTTACGACTCTCACTATAACAACATGCACAGACAGTCCCCGACTTACGACTCTCACTATAACAACATGCACAGACAGTCCCCTACTTACGACTCTCACTATAACAACACGCACAGACAGTCCCCGACTTACGACTCTCACTATAACAACATGCACAGACAGTCCCCGACTTACGACTCTCACTATAACAACATGCACAGACAGTCCCCTACTTACGACTCTCACTATAACAACATGCACAGACAGTCCCCGACTTACGACTCTCACTATAACAACATGTACAGACAGTCCCCCACTTACGACTCTCACTACAACAACACGCACATAGTCCCCGACTTACGACTCTCACTATAACAACATGCACAGACAGTCCCCGACTTACGACTCTCACTATAACAACATGCACAGACAGTCCCCGACTTACGACTCTCACTATAACAACATGCACAGACAGTCCCCGACTTACGACTCTCACTATAACAACATGTACAGACAGTCCCCGACTTACGACTCTCACTATAACAACATGTACAGGCAGTCCCCGACTTACGACTCTCACTACAACAACACGCACAGACAGTCCCCGACTTACGACTCTCACTACAACAACATGTACAGACAGTCCCCGACTTACGACTCTCACTATAACAACATGCACAGACAGTCCCCGACTTACGACTCTCACTATAACAACATGCACAGACAGTCCCCGACTTACGACTCTCACTATAACAACACGTACAGACAGTCCCCTACTTACGACTCTCACTATAACAACACGCACAGACAGTCCCCTACTTACGACTCTCACTACAACAACATGCACAGACAGTCCCCTACTTACGACTCTCACTATAACAACACGTACAGACAGTCCCCTACTTACGACTCTCACTATAACAACACGCACAGACAGTCCCCTACTTACGACTCTCACTATAACAACATGCACAGGCAGTCCCCTACTTACGACTCTCACTATAACAACACGTACAGACAGTCCCCTACTTACGACTCTCACTATAACAACATGCACAGGCAGTCCCCTACTTACGACTCTCACTACAACAACACGCACATAGTCCCCGACTTACGACTCTCACTATAACAACATGCACAGACAGTCCCCGACTTACGACTCTCACTATAACAACATGCACAGGCAGTCCCCTACTTACGACTCTCACTATAACAACATGCACAGACAGTCCCCGACTTACGACTCTCACTATAACAACATGTACAGGCAGTCCCCGACTTACGACTCTCACTATAACAACATGCACAGACAGTCCCCGACTTACGACTCTCACTATAACAACATGCACAGACAGTCCCCGACTTACGACTCTCACTATAACAACACGCACAGACAGTCCCCTACTTACGACTCTCACTATAACAACATGCACAGACAGTCCCCGACTTACGACTCTCACTATAACAACATGCACAGACAGTCCCCTACTTACGACTCTCACTATAACAACATGCACAGACAGTCCCCGACTTACGACTCTCACTATAACAACACGCACAGACAGTCCCCTACTTACGACTCTCACTATAACAACATGCACAGACAGTCCCCGACTTACGACTCTCACTATAACAACACGCACAGACAGTCCCCTACTTACGACTCTCACTATAACAACATGTACAGACAGTCCCCGACTTACGACTCTCACTATAACAACATGCACAGACAGTCCCCGACTTACGACTCTCACTATAACAACACGCACAGACAGTCCCCGACTTACGACTCTCACTATAACAACATGTACAGGCAGTCCCCGACTTACGACTCTCACTACAACAACACGCACATACAGTCCCCGACTTACGACTCTCACTATAACAACATGCACAGACAGTCCCCTACTTACGACGGAGATGCGTTACGATGACCCCATCATCGTAAGTCGAAAATTTCGTAAGTCGAATATGGCCTATAGCCTACCCAGGAGTCTTACAGAACGGTGATAATTTAGCAACACAGAGCAATTTACAATACCGTACTGTATAAACTATATACTGTGTGTACTTATTAATTACAATACTGTATTGCACGGTAAAATGTAAACTAAAAAACAATAACCACAATACTTGCAGTCAAATGCAAACAAAAAACACAATACTCTGATAATGTATGCGTTGTCCTTGCAAATGATTGGTCCACACCAGAGACAGCTTTCTTTGGAGCCTGGTCTCATATGGTGTTCGACCAGATGACGCCAATGCATAAATTATCAGAGTATTGTTTTTTGTTTGCATTTGACTGCAAGTATTGTGGTTAATGTGAGCATGAGTCCTCGCAAAATGTGTCAGTTTTGCCAGAAAAAAGGGGAAAACTCTATGAGTATATGTTGGTACTGGCAAAGGAGGTCCCATGATGTAGCTGCTCACCCCGAGCTCTCGTTACTCTGATGGTGCGTTGTCTTGAACTGTGTAACGCCTTTTGGCGTCATCTGGTCGAACACCATATGAGACTAGGCTCCAAAGAAAACTGTCTCTGGTGTGGACCAATCGGTTTCAAGGACAACGCATACATTATCAGAGTATTGTTTTTTGTTTGCATTTGACTGCAAGTATTGTGGTTAATGTAGACATGATTCCTTGCAAAAGGTGTCAGTTTTGCCAGGAAAAGGGGTTAAACCCCTATGAGTATATGTTGGTACTGGCAAAGGAGGTCCCATAATGTAGCTGCTCACCCCGAGCTCTCATTACTCTGATGGTGCGTTGTCTTGAACTGTGTAACGCCTTTTGGCGTCGTCTGGTCGAACACCAAATGAGACTAGGCTCTAAAGAAAGCTGTCTCTGGTGTGGACCAATCAGTTTCAAAAACAATGCATCAATTAATGATCAGAGTGTTGTTTTTTGTTTGCATTTGACTGCAACTATTGTGTTTAATGTAGACATGATTCCTTGCAAAAGGTGTCAGTTTTGTTGGCAGATAAAAATGTGGAAAACCCTCCCTGTTAGTACCAGTGGTCATTCTTCACCTGGGGTAGATGCGCCCCCCTGGGGGATACGAGATTATCTTTCTTGCCAAGACGTGGCCGGATGTTTGTAGAAGGTTAAATCATCGAAACACTTTGTTTCATCAACCCCTATGTGTTTTATTCTTTGGTTCTTTCGGTGAAGTCACGTCTAAAGATAAAGTAATACATTAAATAATAGCATTTTACGACGTTTCGATTGCAACACAAGCAATCATCATCGGGCATAAAAGAAATAGCAACAAAAATCTAACTAGAAAACTATAGACAGACATACAAGCAGACAGACATCACAAGGACACACAGAGAGAGAGGATGTCTGTCTGCTTGTATGTCTGTCTATAGTTTTCTAGTTAGATTTTTGTCGCTATTTCTTTTATGCATGATGATGGTTGCTTGTGTTGCAATCGAAACGTCGTAGTATGCTATTATTTAATTTATTATTTTATTTTTCGATTTAAAGCTTCTTTCGTGACTGCAGGGATTCATCTTCTTGGTTCTTTCGGTAAAGTCACGTAGAAGGGAAGTGATATTATATTATTACATTATTATTTTATTATTTTTATTATTATTTTATTATTATTTTATCTCTAGACGTGACTTCACCGAAAGAACCAAAGAATAATTCTTGCAGTCACGAAAGCTCCAAAATTAAGATTGAACCCCTATGTGTTTATTGACACGAGACAAAAATTACGAATTTCAAACCACAGGGGCGCAAGGCTGCGGTGACGGCAAAGAACCGCTGCATTCAAGCGAAGCCAACTTGGATTCACGAGTGGACGTCAAGTGAGAAATGGCTCACCTCATCCAGTCCGTAATCCACGGAGGGAGTTCTTTCATGATGGCGAGCGGTGCTTTGCTCCATCGAGGTGTGGGAAAACGGGTGACACTCCAGCCGCTGCCACCTGCAACTCCCTAAGAAAAGATACAAATGGCATCATCCCTCTGTATTATAATATAATGTTGGGGACGCGTCTTTCAATGCCGTATCTGTTTGTGTATATCTGCGTGCGTGTGAGCGCCGGGTGGCTAAAGCACAGCAAGTTGGCACAGTAGGGGGCACAGGTGGTGCATCAGCCAGTCATCTCAATCATCTCAGTCATCTCAGAGCGCCGGGTGGCTAAAGCACAGCAAGTTGGCACAGTAGGGGGCACAGGTGGGTGCATCAGCCAGTCCATCTCAGTCATCTCAGTCATCTCAGTCATCTCAGAGCGCCGGTTGGCTAAAGCACAGCAAGTTGGCACAGTAGGGGGCACAGGTGGTGCATCAGCCAGTCATCTCAATCATCTCAGTCATCTCAGAGCGCCGGGTGGCTAAAGCACAGCAAGTTGGCACAGTAGGGGGCACAGGTGGTGCATCAGCCAGTCATCTCAGTCATCTCAGTCATCTCAGTCATCTCAGAGCGCCGGGTGGCTAAAGCACAGCAAGTTGGCACAGTAGGGGGCACAGGTGGTGCATCAGCCAGTCATCTCAGTCATCTCAGTCATCTCAGTCATCTCAGAGCGCCGGGTGGCTAAAGCACAGCAAGTTGGCACAGTAGGGGCACAGCTGGTGCATCAGCCATCATCTCGTGTCTCTCGGTCATCTTCAGTCATCTCAGTCCATCTCAGAGCGTCGGGTGGCTAAGAGCACAGCGAGTTGGCACAGTAGGGGGCAACAGGTGGTTGCAATCAGCCAGTCATCTCAGTCCATCTCAGTCATCTCAGTAGCGCCGGGTGGCTAAAGCACAACAACTTGGCACAGTAGGGGGCCACAGGTTGTGCATCAGCCAGTCGTCTCGGTCCATCTCGGTCATACTCGGTTATCTCAGTCATCTCAGTCATCTCAGAGCGCCGGGTGGCTAAAGCAGCAGCAAGTTGAGCACCAGTAGGGGGGCACAGGTGGTGGCATCAGCCAGTCGTCGTGGACAAGCCGATGAACCTGTACAGCGGTGTCAAGATCCGGCCTCTGTGGTGGATGGAGGCTCTGTGAAGGACGCTAAGCTGAGGCAGTTGGAGGCAGTCGCCCTCCAACAACAACGGAGGGCGTATGAGCGACGCTCACAACAACGAGCGGAGCGCCGGGGTGGCTAAAGCACAGCAGTTGGCACAGTAGGGGGCACAGGTGGTGCATCAGCCAGTCAGTCTCGGTCATCTCGGTCAGTCGACCGTGGCACCTGCTGGGTCTGCCCCCGTGACCTCCTGCCAGCGGGCGTTCGACACTTCACGTGGCAGCCTCAAGGTGCACATGGCCTGGCACAAGCGTCGTGGTGACGTCACCGCCACTTAGTGGCGAATAGCGGTTATTGTTGTTGTGTGTGATGTCTGTGTGTCTGTGTGTGTGTGGGGCGCGTCGGGTGGCTAAAGCACAGCAAGTTGGCACAGTAGGGGGCACAGGTGGTGCATCAGCCAGTCATCGGTCATCTCAGTCAGTCGACCCGTGGCACCTGCTGGGTCTGCCCCGTGACCTCCTGCCAGCGGGCGTTCGACACTTCACGTGGCAGCCTCAAGGTGCACTTGGCCTGGCACAAGCGTCGTGGTGACGTCACCGCCACTTCGTGGCGAATGCGATTGTTGTTGTTGTTGTTGTGTGTGATGTCTGTGTATCTGTGT